ATTAGCTTTAATGAATAATTACGCTGAAATATCATTCATTGCACGGATAAAATATCAGTCGCTATTGATAAAAATAACGTAACGTCTTATTACTTTGCAGTCTCAATGTTCGAACAAATTAAAATGTAAATTACAAGATTTAGTCACAACGGTTCGAACTGCATCAATCTGCATCATCTACTGCACAATTTAATCTAAAATTTTGATTTCTTTCGCCAAAGTCTGTCAGTGTTGTTCCACGGCTATCAATGACGCACTCTTATTTCTAGGAACACGCCCGAACGTTCGAAAAAGCAAAAAAAATAAAAAAAAAATTAAAAAAAAAAAAATAAAAAGAAACTATTTGATTGTAAATACATCACCCGAATGATCATAAAAAGTTTGTAGGCATAATATAATAATTCTTTTCACCAAAAAAACGCATTTCAGCGAAATTTTGAAACATTTTGTAACGCGCTTAATTTATTTATTTATTTATTTACTTTTTTTTTCCCATAAGCATTAAATAGTATTTAAATTAAGAGCTGTGACATTGAGTCGTCAGATCATTTAATAATTATTATCTATTCGTTTTGTATTATATATTTTGATTATTTTGACATTTTAATATTATTTTTTCTAGAGTTCAAGTACTGTCAAGAAATTATATTCCTTTAAATTTAAAGACATTTAAAAATAAAAATAGTTTTCACATTAATGCTATATTATTTAAATACCGTTAAAGCTATAATTGGCTAAAACTTATACCGATGTGAAGTTTATTTTATATGTGCATGGCTATACTTTACTGTCACATATATATGTAGTCCTTTTATGAAAAATTCGGTTTCCTCGATATTGACATTTTTGACACTTAATGGCCATTTTAAATTGCGTACAAGAAATTTATGCTTAACGTTGCTCGCAACAGCAAAGTTATAGGAAACTAATTTTTACAAAGAAATTTCATTACTACATTTCATTTGCATCGTACGCCTACATTGATTTTTAATATATTTACTTACATTACCATATTAATTTTTCACACAAATATCTGACTTGCAATCGTCGCTACTATTTACATTAATATTATACATATTTTACGATATGCTAACGCGTCTTTAGTTATTTAAAATATTTCAAACTTTACTTTGAAAGTTTACTCGTAATAATAAACTTCGCCTGTTGTTCTTCTAATTTAATAAGTTAATTGTTCTTGTGTTTTTTTTTTTTTTTAATAATTAATATATGTCTAGAGATATATTTAGAGTTCATCGTCAACACGTATCACGAGATGTCCAGTAAATCGAAATATAGTACTATTGTCACTACTTTTGTGCAATAATGAAATGAAAACACTACATTATGGTTTTTGTGTTATTCTTATGGATTCTTTTTTATTTGTTATTCTTTGATATTTGTTATTTGTTATTATGTGTTCTTTATTTGTTCTTAAATATTTTTTATTTGTTATTACGTGTTATTCTTCTTATTTGGAAAGGACTATAGATTAAAATTAACCAAAATTAATTTCTTGCGACACATTCTTGATATAAATACAAAATTATAAATAAAATATTTTCTTACAATACATATGTATACATATATATATATATATATATATATATGTATGTATATATTCTATCTTGACTATTGATATTTATGTTAATTTAACGTATTTATATATTGTGCTTCTTAACAATATTATTGTCCAATAAATGATAATAAATTCTTATAATTTATCAACAAAATTGATCTTTTATAATTAATATGTTTCATAAACCCATAATAAACTATATATGTATTTGAAAAACTGAGGTTATAAATGTTTATACAAGCAAATTTTATTTTTAAATTTAATTCACTGTTTTCGTTTTCAAATGAAAGTCTGTAACTCTTATCGTTATATTTATTTTAACATTGTTATTTCATGCTTTAAAATATATGAGAGAAATTCTGTCGAATCGCCACTAGCAATTCATTTCATTTTATTATTGTAAAAAAAAAAAAAAAAAAAAAAAATTCTTTTTCTGTCGTGTATGTATATTATAGATGAAACGAATAAATATTTAAAATCATACAAATGAAAGATGAAAATTTCATCTGTTTTAGAGACGAGATTTCGTTTCCCGTTCACACCACTACAATAATTGATATCGAATAACCTTTCTCGCATTAATTATTCTCAGCGCTTATGTTTCATTATCGCCAAAAAGTATTAAAGTTTAGGGAAACCAGAAATTACTTTTCAGCTAAAAGTTATATAATTTTTTTTTTTTTTTTTTCGAAAAATAAGAGGCTTATTTAAAAAGAAGTATAATCTCTTTTTAAGACTCACTGACGTGTTCGCGGCCTCGCTCGAGGGCACATTACGAGAAGGCAAAAAACAAAAACTTCTCGCCGACGCAGATGGATAAGCAACAGAGAGGATAAACCCATTGCTGTTAAATACCATGAGATATTTTTGAGGAGGCATTTTCTTCCGCATGCAGACAGTTGTTATTGCTATAACAGCTTCGGCAATGATACAACTTCATGGCGGGCATCAACGATTCGTCCCATTTCTTCCTTCCTTTCCCTCCTTTCTTGAAATCCGCTTCATTTTACTATCGGCGTAATGTCTACAATCGTTTATCCTTTAGCCGATCTTGCGTTCATACTCACCTAGACGTTTCGAGAATTTCCGACGCTATTGAATGCAAATGTTCGGATCATTTGCTTTGGAAATGCCCGAGTGCGTCTCGTTGTTTCGATTAGAACTCCTCAATTTACCCTTTACATATTGATTAAGACAAAACTATATCCCATCATCGTGTCTACGAATCATTTCGATTAAACAATGTGTGTATTCCCCTTTGTCACGATGATTTATTTACTCGCTCAGCTTACCATAAAATCATTACGTACCTACACAATGACTCGACGTCATGGCCGCATTACGTACATTCACGGTCAAGAACATACGATTTCAATGTTAAAGTACGGTTGTAACGGAAGCCCTCTGAATCGCGCGTCTGTCTGAATTTTTTGTCTGTCGTATTTAACCTGTCGCACCTAAATATTCACAATGATTGGCCGTTGATACAATTGCAATCGCAAACAATTATTTCGACGATCGTCTAGTAATGAAAACGATTCCGAAGGCAATGGAGAGGAGTGCATCCTTCCTCTACCACCCCCCCCCCTCCTCCCACCCCCAATCAACTATCATGCACTTGTCATCCTTGTCATGCACCGAGACATCGAGTCGATCAGTCGGAAATCGTAGGATGCTTCGAAACTCGATTACGAGACCCATCGTCGACTCCCTCCCATTTCGCTACTCGTCCCACAGTCAAATCACATTCTGTATTCACATTTTAAATATGTCCGCTATTAAAAATTGACGCCTCCGAGCGCGTGAATTCTCGATAACAAGCCTGGTCCACGAATTGAAGCATGAATGCCATTCTCATACTCAGCCTCATCGGAACGATCAATTTAGAAGAGCTTGTGCACGACGGCATTTACAAGTGTCTCTCGGAGAATTCTTCTGACCCGAGGCCGAAATTATATCTGACTAGTTGACTAAGCGAACGTCTTTTCGTCGAAAGCTTTCGATAAGGCTCCCTAGCCTAATCTAGTACCATCAAGCACCATCTAGCCAGCGTCCTAATATAGTCGAGCTCGCGCCGCGCCATCAATCCCAGATTCTCAATTACTATGGGGTCAAATCCTATTTTCAACGAGTCAACGTCGAATTCCCTTTATCGGCTGGCAGTTAGCTCGGCGGCACACGCCAAGGTGGCACCGATTCTCATTAAGTCGCTAGATCTCGGCGGACTCGTCGAGAGTCGTAGCCCCGAGATCGCGTCGTCTTCTCGGTCGCAGTCGCCGTCGCCGTCCTCCCACGGCTTGTAATTCAATTAGTTTAGGACTTCAGCGGGCGGTATGAATGGCAGTGGGGGCGTATAATCAATGTCCCGGCGTTAACGGCACTGTACGCGAGGAGCGACATCAACGAGAGCGGTAGGTTGACTTTGCTCCTGGCACTTGTACATTTACGTGCGATTTAACTGGAGTTTGATTGTTTGGGCCATTGTCGAGGAGCTGATTATTTCCAGGCCCAGTTAACTCGGTAATTACGTACGGATGGCTTCCGCTGAGGGTTCGTAAGCGCTCGTCCCACTGCCATCAAATACAACGAGATTTATATGAGACGGATTAGGAGGCCGAGAGTGCAGAGTACGCGATTATCCATTAATATTCCCTTTCTATGATCTTCGTAATGCTATTGCAAGATTACGAAATTTGATTTTGAGGCGAGGAGTGGAATATTGCCGGCGAATGTTTTAATTGAAATTAAGGAAAGAAGAGATTTTGCCGAGTTATGGTCCGCTCGAGCTAGTAGGAGCTAATGAAACATAGGTTTACGGGTGTGAAAAGTTTTTGGTGAGAGGATTTTTCTTTTGTTTTTTCTTTTCTTTTGTTTTTGTTTATGTAAAGAACTGGAGAATCATGTTTTGCTTACGTTCGTTGTATTACACCTATCATCGGCAAATTTTTCTTCTTCTGAGGATCGACTATTCTTGGAGTAGAGTCGAAGACAAAGTAACTATGAACGGAGACAATAATATTAATAGTTACAAAAAAAAAAAAAAACATGGCTAGAGAAAAAATAGAAATAACATAATAATATGAATAGCGTATCATCGATATCGTTATAGTTTTTAATTACATAAAAATAAAAAAAAATAAAAAACAAAAAAACAAGTATATATGTATATGAACTCGATAACAAATACAAGCACTAAATGTAAAATAACCTGACTACGAGTAGAAATTTTAACGTATAATGCATGGATAATGTAAGAATTGCGACCAATAATTAAGAAAATGAAAGGCTTGAAAGGTCGCTGCTGTTGATAAGCTTCCGTGGAAACGGCGATCCTTTCGCACTTTCATTCCCAAATTTAAAGTACATCGCCGTAAGAATTTGACAATCGCAAGAAACTAAACAATCGGCTAAATTCCTGTTGCAGATGATAAGCAGGACGGGAGTGGCAGTGAGTGCAACTCGGTGGTCCCGAAGAAACGACGCCGTAAAAACGGAAGCGAGGCATCCGCTGGGGGCAGCGGTGGCAGCTCTCGCGACTCCTCGGCCTCCTCGCGCTCCAGCTCACTCCTTCAATTCGAGTCGCTCGAGCGCACTTGCGCCACTCTCTCGCCCTCCAACTACAGCTTTGACTCCTTGGAATTCACCGATCGTCGGCAGCCACGAGCCGGCTTTCTTGCCAATGGCGGCGGCGGCGGCGGCGGCGGCGGCGGTGGCGGTGGCGGTGGCGGTGGCGGTGGCGGTGGTGGCGGCTGCTCGTCTCCGGACAGTCTCGAGCAGGATTATGGGCTGCTGAACGGACGACTCAGGCCTTACCGGAGCTTCGAGAGCCTCGGCGAGAAGGAAATGCTGACAAATGGCTTCGCGGCACACGCCTTCGCCAAGGATTGCGATCTGTCGCGGTTAGGCGGACACCGCGGAAGGTAGGGAAAATTACCGTTACACGCGAAAGGCGAGGAGGATGCCAAAGTCCAAAGTCGCTTACTTCCTGATGATTTGCCATTCTGTGAATCATGGGCTCGTTAAACGGCGAATGGGACAAGTATGAAAAATGTGACGCGTGTGTTTTGGGGTGGAGGAGGGGGTGGGGGGAGGGGATTGGTCTGGTCTGGTCGACTCGTTTGTAAAATTAATCAACCTCGCTTCGATTGTAAACGGCTGTGCATTGCATTATGAGTTGTTGTGGATCTGAGCTGTTGGACGAGACGAGGCTTCTTTTCAAAGTCGCCTAACACGTAACGGCACGTGAAAGGTGCACGCACACGTCGCTTAAAGTTGTATAGGTTTGCGCGATCTTAAAGTTATCATTACGATAAGCAGTGCTAAAGGCAAATATTCGAGTACTGACACGTACCACGGTAGATAATTAAATATTTTCTATTTTAACTATTTTAACTCATTGTTGTTCGGTACTTTAAAGACGATTAATCAAACTCGCTACAAGTACTTAGCTATTGCCATTGTCAATTTGGTGCGTCTGGGGCAAACAAGCCGTCGAAGCGGTTAGGCGCTAATGGAGACATGGACGATTCGAGCGCGTCGAGGTAACGAAGAAAAAACAAACAAAAAAAAAAAAAACAAAAAAACAAAAAAAAAAGACAGAAAATAAATATCTCCCGTAGTTGAGAAGAGGCGGTACTGCACGTGACGTCAAGAATAGAGTCTCGAAGTATTTCGAGTAGGCGACGCGCGTTTATAAAGAAAAGCTTTTGTGTGGCACTTTGTTCTTGATCGACCTTAAACCTTGAAGTGGTAGTCTTAGATTCTTGGCAATGTCTTTTTGGCTCCTCGGACACGTGACCCGAATTTTTCGTAGCTTCTGCTAGTGAAAAACTTGACCCTGAGAGTTTTTCTTTAACAATAAAATGCGACATCTAACGCTACTTTGACGAATATTAAGACTACTAAGCTCGCACCTTTAGTGCGAACGACGAATAAAAATTAGATTGCTCATTGGCATTGAATCCTGATACGAATCGTGTCCTCGCGACCGCCTCGGAGCCTTCGAACGCACAGGCCCACGTTACAGTGGCGATAAATACTAAAAGAACGTAGTTTTTAAATTCCAAATAGTTAATTACTATACGAGGAGAGGCGAGCTACTCTCTAGGGATTTGCACGAGTTCTTATTTTCCTCCATAGAGGTCGGCTAGCACGACTTTGCTTAAGAGACCATAAAAATGATTTTTATTATAATGGTCCTTAACATATCTCAATTACTCGCTTCGAGTCTCACGAGTCAGTAAATGGTATTATTCAATGAAGGCCCGCATCTCTCAGGCTCCTCCTCTCCGTATTATCAACTTTAGAGAATTAGTAGAGTAGCGCGAAGAAATGTACTTTGAAGCAACGCACTTACAAAGCAGCCGTAAAACGTATTTCAAAAACAAATTTCCAAGATGCCAATTATTTTATCTCGCTTGTTTTATTTCTTGTATCATATTGCTTAGAGACGATTAACATTAACAATAACACACAATGTCGACAGCGTTAAATATATATACATATATATGGATAGTAAAAATATTGGCAATAAACGTATTCAATTTGTTGCATGACATAATGTAGATACTAATTACAACGTCGAGTAAAAGTATTTCGTAGAAAAAGGCGTTATTACGAGGAGTAAAATTAAAACAAAAATAAAAAAAAAAACAAAAAAAACAAACAAGAAAACTTCAATGATTTTTTTTTTCTTTCAGTCATTAACTAAAGAATGAAGAAAAAAATACATCTGTACTGTTTATCTAACTATTTTGCACATGATTAGTATTATTTTAATTAATTTCTATCAATAATCGTAATTATTTTTAATGAGGGAAGAACAACGACATCACAAATAAGAATTAAATTAGAAACATTTTAACAAAGCAAATAAATTATAAAGATCGGACATAAGAAAAACTGACAGAAGCATTTATTTCCGAATCTGTTTATCCTTGAAATGTAGGAATAAAAACTAAAATTAGAATTTTTTTTTTTTTAACGCGCATCTAGATTTTAAAAACTTTAAGTCACAAGAAAGAAAGCGATTTATGAATTAAATAAGAATGAATTCGTAATATCGACTCGTGGAGAATTCTGTTTCATTCGAATTATTTTACATTATGTATGGAGTGTGGCATCGACCTTGGTAAAGATGTGAACTCGGGAGCTTTTCCCCGAGGCGAAGGAAACCTTTATCATATTTGTATGCTTGCGATTATTCATCGGTACGTTATTCATTTTCGAGGATAAAATCGTTGCTATACTTATGATGGGGTAACGCAGCAGGTACTTAAAGATTTTCCAATTATTATTCATACGACTGTCACGAGATGAGAAGGAAGAGGAGTAAGCGATTAATCGATCGTTTAGAGCTCGAAAGAGAAAAGGAAATTGTATGTATCTCTTTGGCTAGCTCGTGCTCATCCCTCGAGGCATATTTGACTGATCAGTGGAAGATTTATAGCAGCATGGATCGTAAGAAAAATAATAATAATGTCGAAGCTTATCGAGGAAGTGATTGTCCCACATTTGAATGGAGATACGCATACTCGTGACTCGGTGAACCTCTCGTTTCTCGGCGCGGAACGTCAATGTAGAATAACTTCGGAGTAGTCGATTGATTCTTAGAGAAAGGTGAAAAGGTCTCGTGCGTGTACCTACCAGTACAGGTAGCAATGACGATGAAGCCTCGCTCTCCGCACGAGGCTCCAGGTCCGAATCCTTCCGGCCCATCCCGTTTTCTTACTTAAGGGATTTGGCTCGGAGACGACGTTTTTTTTTTCTTCAATAGACTTTGCTCTCCTCGAATGCTGGAATATCTTGGGAATCTCGTCTCGTTGTCCAGTGACACACTTGTGAATTGTCATACTTACCATTGGCCACATATCCAACTTGTTAATGCGCTCGATTCTGATTAATACTGATTACGGCATGAGGATAAGGAAGGACATAGGTCCCAGGGCACACGAATATCATTAGAATAAAGCAGATAAATCATACCGCGCAATGAATACTATATAGAGCATACTATATTTAAATTTTTTTTGTTATTTTTGTTATTTTTGTTATTTTCTTTTCTCCCACTACATCGACATAATTAACGCACCGAAATATTAAAAGTAAGAGAAATTGTCCACGCGTCTTGTAGCTCTGTCAAACGACGAATTATAAATCTCCTGTCGCACTTATCAATATAATAGCGCAAAAGATCCGCTCGTTTATCTAAATTTTCTGTCTATATTCCAAGTACATAAATGAGTATGTAAACAAAAAAAATCAGTCCCCTGGCTGAGATGAGAAAGTCGATTCATCTTGGTTAGTGCCGGGTAATGTGCGAGCTTAGTGATAAAATAAATTTGAAATTGCTCCGCAGGGACCCATGGCAATTAAACGACGTGGACGCTTATTCGGACTATTCGGATCAACCGGTATTAAGGCGACGCGCGAATTCATCGGACGAGGTCGAGGATGAGGATGAGGATGAGGATGAGGATGAGGATGAAGAGGATGAGGAGGAGGAGGACGTGGACGAGGATGAGGATGAGGAGGATGGGGAGGAAGGACTCGGGAGCTCGCGCTACAGTGGCGTCGACCAGATGCTCGTGTTCGGCGATCACTCGTCGGCCTACCAGCACACGGCTTCCCAAGACTGCCGTAACAGCGTCGACTTGCGCGATTTCGGCCTCGACTCGGACGACGAGGAGGCACGTCGCGAGAACACGTTTCTCGACCTCAAGGCCACGGCCCATCTGAGCCTCTCGGAAGACGTCGCGTCCGCGACCGCCAGCAGCCCCGACGTCTTCGACGACGATGTCGAGCCCGGGGTGCAGCTTCGCCGTCGCCACCATCATCATCACCATCATCATCACCATCATCATCACCACCATCATCGTCGTCGTCGAGCTACGTCACATTACGCGGAGGCGCGCCAGAGCGCTGGCGGCGGCGGCGGCGGCGGCGTCGTCGGCGTCGGCGTCTGTGGCGGCGGTGGCTCTGCCAACGACGGGGGCTACTTTAATTTTAGATTCTCGGACAAGTGGCGCAGCGCGCCCAGTCTGCCGGCCAGCCTCTTGGAGTCCGCAGCAAGTAGCTCGCCCTCGGCAAGTCTCCTCGGTTACGAGCACTACACGCGCGTGTCCAGCGTGCCGGCCGACCTCGATCTCTGCGGGGGGAGCGGCTGGGCCGAGAGGCCTGGGGTGTCGAACCTAGATGAGGAGCGCGAGCGCGACGAGTCTGTCGAGGCACTGAAGGAGGAGCGGCAGGAGATCAGCAGGGGAGGGCGGTCGCATCTCCCGGCCGAGATGGCCGCGATCGTGGGGCTGCGGCCTCAGAAGGATGATGACGAGAAGGAGAAGGAGGTGGTCGAGGGGGATGAGGAGGAGGAGGAGGAGGAGGAGGTGGTGGTTGTGGATGTCGGTGATGAGTCGATGAGGTCATCGCGTAGGCGACATCACGGCTCGTCCGTGAAGACGCAGGACGGGCAGAAGGCGGCGATGCTCGCGCAATCGTCACCCGCGCGGAACCCCAAGGACGAGCTGAGGAGCCCGCCGACGTCGACGGTTAAGACGCAGGACCGGCCCGAGAGCAACGTCCTCGAGCTGGCGATGGCAATGGAGAGCGACGTCGAGGCCGTAGTGGACGAGGCCATACGCCAGCTGGGCCGCGAGGACCTCGTCGCCGCCCTCGAGAGCGCCCAACGCATCAAACTCGGGCTCCTGCTGGAGGCGAGCCAGGAACAACGGCGCCGCGTCAAGAACAACGCGAGCTACGAGTTGGCTCAGCAGTGCACCGTAGACGAGCGTAGCTTCGGGCGTCGGCATCGCGCGGACGAGGAGGCCGGGGACGAGACACCACCACCGGGAAGATCGCGGCGCGTTCTTAACAGCGCGAGCTACGAGCTCGCCCAGCAATGCGATTACGTGCGCGATCAGCCCCACGGCTGGGCCAAGCCCTTCTACCGGATGGACGCCTGCGAGGAGCTTACCGAGCCATCGAGTTCCGGACGCTCCTCCCGGCTCAAGGTCAACGAGTTCGTCGACGAGTCGTTAATGGCGGACGCGGCCCCGGACCTCGTCGACGTGCCGCTCGATTATCTCTCGCGAGCCGAAGCCTACTCCAGGTCCTTGGAGATGGAGAACGCGTCCGGGCAACAGCGGCAGCTACAGCAACAAACGGAGCCGTCGCTACTCGGGCGGCTAAAAAAAAACTCGGATTTTTTTTCGGGCTACGGGGAGGGCGCCGCTAGGGCCTCGACCCCCGGCAGCTGCGAGCCCGGCCTCGACGACGAGCTCGACTACCCCTGCTTCCTGGAGAACAAGTCGATCGATCATAGTTTCGCGGGGGAGTCGCGCAACAGGTTGGACTCGCATCCCTTGGACGGCCTCGAGGGCGCCTGGCCGTGCGGACGAATCGAGATGAGTCCCGCCGCGCCCTTGGGATTGTCGTGGTTGATGCTGCCGGAGCCGATGACGAAGGAGCCAAAGGAGTCAAAGGAGGCAAAGGGGGCAAAGGAGGAGGAGGATGACGAAGAGGAGGAGGAGGTGGAGGGGGAGAGGGAGGAGGTGGAGGAGGAGGAGGAGAGGAGGAGGCGGCAACGCGACGGCTAGCGGCGGCAACGGCGGTCCCCCCACTCCGGGCGACGCTGGCGGAAGCGGCGGGGAGCGCCGTAGCAGTCGCCGGTAGTTCTCCAGCGGTCGACCTCGCGAGCGGACGGTGCGGGCTCGGGTCCGAGCTCGCCGACGAAAGCATCGCGGTGCAGCCGAGAACGGAGATGTCGGCCATCGCGGCCAAGAGGCTCGCCATGTCGGGTGAGCCGATGACGATGACGAGGTGCGGACCGTCGTCGATGACAAGCTTGACCACGATGATGATGATGACAACGACGACGACGACGGCGGCGGCGGCGGCGGCGGCGGCGTCAACGGCCACGATGACCGCGACGAGCACGACGAGCACGACTAGCACGACGACGACAATGACGACGATGTCGATGACGACGGTTCCACCCGCGACTCCCGCTCCCAAAGGGGAGCGCAAAAAGGGCGGCCTCGGTGGTTTTCTCCAACGGTTCTCCAAGCTGAGGTTCAGCGGCCGTTCCAAGGTGCCGCGATCCGAAGTGCAGAAGAAAAGTGCCGGTGGCGAACGCGGCATTATCAACAACAGCCGGCTCGTGGGTAAAGCCCAAAACCAGGCCGCGCCCAGGAAGACGAGCGAGCCGGACTATATAATCGTGCCGTTGCATCCGACGGACGAGGAGGCAAGACTCGAGGAGCAGCGCCGGCAGGCTGACGAGACGAGGAGATTTAGCCTCGAGAGGAGTGCTTCCAATGTCAGGTCAGTACAGTTTGCCGGGCTTTTGGATAGGTGATTCTCAAGGCAATAATAATTCTCGTGAACTGATGCTGCGTGTAAAGCGATGAATTGCGCTGTTTTGTCATAATGAATAGTAACAGCACTTATTCATCGTCGACCGTTGTTCCGTTGTTCAAAGCTCACAATTTCAAAACCGTTCAATTACATCATTAGAATCGCGTAAGCGCGCGTGATCCAGGGGGCATTTTTCTGCCCTGACGCGAGTATTGTTGGGCGACGTTTATTTACGCGGGATCTGCTTGTTTGGCCTTTTCTTGCTCATCGAAATTTTGTTTATGTTTATCCAAGAAGTCTCGGTCAAAATTGAAAACTGTATTGTCCTTTACCGATAAACACAATATTACATTTGCAACGATCGTTGCAATGACACAATAATATTCACATTCATTTTTAAGCCCCAACTTAGAGCAAGAGAGGGAGAGAGAGAGAGAGAGAGCGCGCGAGAGAGACAGAGAGAGAGAGAGAGAGACAGAGAGAGAAAGAGAGAATAATAATAATAATACCATCTAGATGACTCGATGTATTATTATGAGCTTATTTTGACAGAATATCGTTATGTTTAGATAAAACAATTTGAGCTTTTGTATTAAGAATTTTTTTTTAAAAACTACCTTTCCAATATTTCAGTTTAACATTCTTTATTCTCTAGAGTCGGTATACCGCTCGATCTGACCATCGATACGTTATCCTGAATATTCGCTTTATCATTCCACTAAGTAAATGCTTGACGCGATGGGTTATTTTGAAACTTCGAATGTCACGAGATTTGATTTAATTAGTGCAAATTATATCGAATTGCCGATTGTCGATTAAACGGAATATGAAGGATAAAAATTGAGAGGGCCGCGATGCACGTAAGTACATAACGCTCGACGATTAATAACCAACGTAACATTATAATAGAATATGTCTATTTCTCTCTCTCTCTCTCTCTCTCTCTCTATCTCTCTCTCTCTCTGTCTCTCTCTCTCTCTTCTTCCTCTCTCTCCCTCCGCGTGCCCACGCGCAACAAATTATTCTGTAATTCCTATCGAGTGAATGCTGTCACCGGAAAACCGTCGTCGCCTCGCTTCGGGGTCGTCAATCCCCCCGTTAATCCGCCTCTCACGTGGGTCGGAAAAATGTTAAAGAGCAAGAGAATGCCGGTATCGGTCCTCCGAGCACTCGGGTAAAAGTCCAGCTGATTTACGAGACTTGGCTCCCATCGACCACCACCGTCACCACCTTATCCTCCTCCTCCTACTCCTCCTCGTCATGCGGGCATTGAAAGCCGCTTAAAGGAACCGTGGACACGCGCTACCAAATGAACGCTACTACTCCCAGTGAGAATGTAAGCGACCCAATGGATGTGAGCAGCGCTCTGGTTGACGAGCGTCCTGCTGGCGCAGGGGGACGTGTGAGGGTTAGGCTCCGTGATAAACATTAAACGACGGGCTTCCGCCTGGTGTTTGTTTACGCGCTCGCCAGTCTTAATTATAGATCGTAAGCAAGGCCTTATATGGCGGAATGGGACGCGCTCGGACATTCGGGTGGGGATAGCCGAAGCGCACCGCCACTAGGAGAAATGAAAAACTGTCACGTGGGAGGCCTCTGCGCCTCGTTCCCGCGACTCCGCAATCCTTCGATTTTTCACGATTAATCGCGCACCGTTCGCCTGGGTTTTTCATTCATTAGCTTACGTAATTCAATTCGCCGGAGAAGCGATCAAAAAACTCCTGCCGCGTGGATTAATGTTACTGTTTTTCTTCCCCTCTCTTTCTCGCAACCGAGTTTTGTACTTCACAGTAAATAATGCGTCTACCTCATTTTGTCCGTATGTAAATTTGAACTAATTAGGAAAATTACTGTGCCCAAGGCTATCGTACTCGGCTTATAATTTCATTAAGCGCCCCACGAATTTGCCGGGCTTTTCAAGCTTACTTATTAACTTTATTAACTTTGACAAATTTTTGCGCAGGCGTTATAAAAACAAAAAAAAAAACCAAAAAAAAAACAAAAAAAAAACAAAAAAAATAGAA